CACCTTATACTCTATATTTTATTATGGCACAGTCAAGGTATTGGCAGAAAAGCTGGTGTGTGCGTCTTTATATAAAGAAAGACTGGGATTTATACAGTATACTTATACATCTTGGAGACAGGTATTTAACCCAAAAAAAGAAAAAAATGTCCTTAGAGCATCCCCAGCAGTTACATTTAAATCCAGTTTTACACGAAATACATGTACTTTAGCAAATGTACCCAAAAAAAAACAGCCTCAGCAGTTACATTTCCGAAAACATTTAATAAAAAATTTGGCAAATTTACTGCCTGCTCCATGGATTTCCATGTACTTTTTTTAAAAAATTGCCTTTGCGTTTTAACTTTCTTTGATTTTTCTTTGAATCGAACAATAGGATATATCAATGGTTAGAAAAATTTTCAGAAATTATATTTGTTACAAAGCTGACAATCTAAGGAATATTTGACTCTCATTTTTAATATTATAAAGAGAAGACAAATGTCTAATAAAATGATTTTAGAAAAAAAATACTTGTAAAGAAGACTATATTAGATATTGAGGTCTTGAAAAAACAATAGCAAATGTTACTGATATTTGGCCCACCATTTTTTGGCTGTTTTAAAGCACCGAAGTGGCTTAAAAACATTTGGAAAAAAAAGGAGGAAATGTAACTGCTGGGGATGCCCTTATTAATTTAAATTTTCCCATTTTTTTTTCTTTTTTACTTCTTTACACCAATTTACTATCATAATTTTAATTAATAAATCTGAAACAAAGACTTCAAGTATGCTATTTAATGGAACACATAAAAAGTATCCTATGTATTTTTCTTTTCTCTTAAAGGGCAATATAAAATATCATGACATATATTACACAGCCGTCCATTTCAAGAGTGTCTGCCAAAGTCATTGCCTTTTTTTTTGGAAAAAAGATTGTGGCTTTATTTGTACTCCACTCTTTGCTTCCAGCGTATGCTTGTAATGTCAGAATATAGGACGGCTTTCTTCATATAAACGTTTATACAAGCTGATATTCTGTTATGTAGAGCATATATAGATATATAGCTATTCTATAATGTCTCTTATGCTAAATAATATTCTCTTTTCTTTAAAAAAAATATCTCTAACTTTTGAACACTCCAAATTGATGCCTTTTGGAGTGTCTGGTTTATGTATTTAACTAAAAAAAAACCGTACTTTTAGAAACAACTCGTATTTTTGCTATTGGGCATTTAAAGAGCTTATTGAAGTGGTGCAAGTTTCCCGAATTTCAGGGTTCTATGCTTTTTGAGAGTGAAAAAATCGGATATTTTGATCAAAATTCGAGTAATTGTAATATAATAAACCTCGAAGAGGTGGATCACAATGTGTCTCACCAGGTTACTTAAAGCCAAAAAAAAACATTGCTTATTTGATTCGATTTTTAATTTTCTATAATTGAAAAGCTATGATTCCCATTGGTGTGCATTTGCATATGCTTGTAGAAATCTTAAAAAATATCATTTCCAGTACACTCATATTTAATCGACCATAGAAAAGGTTCATTTATACAAAGGCTCCGTGCTTCAAACTAAAATAGTCTCAAGCGAACCAAAGCTAGACTATGAACCTCAAAGTAATAAGTGGAATCATACTATACAGTACTGTAGCGCATTATATTGTATTACAAAACAAAAGTTATAAATCAAAGCCTTTAATCCAACAGAGTATTATTTCTAGGTTATTCGTGCATCCAGTTGAGTTTGGTATACAAGCGCAAAATATCAAAAGCACTAGATCCTATAAATCGATAATTAGTAATCGATAGCGTCTTGCTCCCAACCAAACAAAACCTATACGTTCAGTAGCAGTAGATTGTCTCTTTGCTTTCATATTGTGCCGTCAGTCAGTCTGAGCAATAACAGAAAAAAATAGTAAATAAGCAGAGCCTTTAAAAGGTGATTTATATATATGTAATAGCCATTTTACTAGCTTGATCTATCTGTGACCAGGCTAGCACAATTGCAAGCACCACTACTTTTTCATGGTGTATAATGTAACTTATATAAATAATTATAATTATCGATAGAATGGTGTATATTTGAACACATATAAATGTAAAGTGTTTCAGGCAGTTGGGTTATGCTGTATTAATTTCTCAGTTGGATTATGATTGGTTTATAAAGTAGTACAAACCAAGGTCGATTGACAAACACTAGGCTAGACCCTGTTCTTCTTTTTACTTTTATTTTACTCTAAGAACGATGCTTTAACTTGAGGTACCAACGACTTTCAATAGTCAGGCTGTCAATCCCTTCATACTGAAGCACTGAAAGTACTTTTATTTCAAGAAAGTATTCCTACACTTTGTGTTTATTAACTCAAGACACTGGTGAAAAAGCTAGAAGAAAAATGGAAGTCTTTCACACGAAAGAAAAGAAAAGATATAAGCAGCAATTTTTTTCGGGGGTGCTTCTTAAACTAATAAAGTCACAGCATGTGAAACAAACAAACAAGAAAACAAACAAATAAATATACACAAGACTTTAATTAAAGCTTTATAATCAACACAACTTTACACTTCTTTATTGTAGTTTAACGTCTAGCCGATTAATACTTTGTATATCAGTAGTACAGCTAAAATGAACACAGAGGCATATATAGTGTCTCGACAAGTGGCTGTTCAAAAGCATAAGCCTTGTTAACAGAATCACAACAGAAAGTAGAATAAAAAAGGGGATGGGGGTCCATAGCAACTGAATAATTTGACATGCATATAGTCCACCAATCGGAAGACATCATTTAAATGTTTTCATGCTAAAGTAAAGTCTGGACCACTATTGCTACTATGCTCCTCTAAGCCCCATGACACATGTGATGCTGCACGGACAGCACGGACCTTATGTGACATAAAAAGAACTAAAAAGAAAAGAGGCAAAAGAAAAAAAAGTAAAACAAGTGCCTGCACAGCACATCCTTCAGAATGTAAGTGATACTTCTTTAACACCCAAAACCCATATTTTAAGCATAGATATTAAATAAAGAAGTAAAATAATAATAATATATACATGTTGTCAAGGCTAAAAGATAAAAGAAAACCGAAAAAGGAATAAGAAAAAAACCGAATTTTATAATATATTATCAAACTATCATAATAAAAATAATAAAAAAGAACAGCAACTCATGATTGAGACGTCATGAGTTTTATAAAAAAAAACACCTATCCAAACAGAACGCGTCAAAACAACTCTCTTCCACATACTATTAATACTTTATACACTTCTTTACTGCTTTCTCACAAACTGCTTTAATCAACATAGACGTTAAAGACGAATCATAACCAATAAAAATCCATTTTGCTAGTCAAATCTCAGGCTTTTATCATATGTAAAACAGTCAGTAGCAAGATATAAGACAATACGTCAAAACCAGTACACAGCGAAAATGAAATACTGAGGTCCAACACTGGTTTGACCATCAATCCATCCAAAGCCTATTCACACTCAGAAACAAGAGATAAACTGACAGGACTTACTATATTTCAAGGAGTATATGATATTCATCAAAGACACACATTGTGAAGATTATATTTGTCTAGTCTTTTGACAAACAAGGTCAACGATAAAAAATAAGATCTCCATCCAGGCCTACAGGTATATAAAGGCTCGTTGATTAATCATTCACTGTCTTTGATATTTCTGTAGGGACTTTTCAGGCAAAGTCAAGCAATCAAGAACAGGTTTCCATCCAGGGCCACAGGTACACCAAGACTCGAGGAGCATATGCTCATTGTCTTTTGTATGCTTCTAGTGCCTTCCGTCCAGGTCAAGCATCAGGGATCCGATCAGAGTCCATGGTTATCAGGTATATCAAAACTCTATGAGCAGTTACTCACTTGTTTTTGTATATTTGTAGTATCCATTCCATCCAGGTCAAGCTTCAAGGTTCAGGTCAAGGTCCACGGTTATCAAGTATATCAAAACTCTATGAGCAGTTACTCACTTGTTTTTGTATATTTGTAGTATTCATTCCATCCAGGTCAAGCTTCAAGGTTCAGGTCAAGGTCAACGGATTCAGGTCGAGGTCCACGGTTTCAGGTATATCAAAACTCGATGAGCAGGTACTCACTTGTTTTTGTATATTTCTAGTATCTGTTCCATCCAGGTCAAGCTTCAAAGCCCACGTCAAAGTCCACGGTTTCAGGTATATCAAAACTCGATGAGCAATTACTCACTTGTTTTTGTATATTTGTAGTATCTATTCCATCCAGGGCAAGCTTCAAGGTTCAGGTCAAGGTCAGCGGGTTCAGGTCGAGGTCCACGGTTTCAGGTATATCAAAACTCGATGAGCAGTTACTCACTTGTTTTTGTATATTTCTAGTATCCATTCCATCCAGGTCAAGCTTCAAGGTTCAAGTCAAGGTCCACCGTTTCAGGTATATCAAAACTCGATGGGCATTTACTCAGTTGTTTTTGTATATTTGTAGTATCCATTCCGTCCAGGTCAAGCTTCAAGGTTCAGGTCAAGGCCCACGGTTTTCAGATCAAGGTCCACGGTTTTCAGGTATATCAAAACTCGATGAGCAATTACTCACTTGTTTTTGTATATTTCTAGTATCCATTCCATCCAGGTCAAGCTTCAAGGTTCAAGTCAAGGTCCACCGTTTCAGGTATATCAAAACTCGATGGGCATTTACTCAGTTGTTTTTGTATATTTGTAGTATCCATTCCATCCAGGTCAAGCTTCAAGGTCCAGGTGAAGGTCCACGGTTTTCAGGTATATCAAAACTCGATGAGCAGTTACTCACTTGTTTTTGTATATTTGTAGTATCCAATCCATCCAGGAAAAGCATCAATGTTCCGATCTCCCAGCTATGGTTATAGGTATAACAGAACGTTATGCGCATTTACTCACTAGCTTTTATCTATTACTAGTGTTCAGCCATCCAGGTCAAGTGTCAAGGACCCGATCGCCCGGCCATGGGTATAGGTATAACAAAACGTTGTGGGAATATACTCACTAGTTATAATATATTTATAGTGTTCAGCCATCGATATCAGGCGTCAAGGTTGCGATCTTCCAGCCAAGGTTATAGGTATAACAAAACATTATTGAAATATACTCACTGGTCTTAATATGTTTTTAGTGTTCACTCATCCAGGTCAATCAACAGGATTCTGATCTCCCGTCCATGGTTATAGGTATAACAAAACGTTATTGCAATATACTCACTATTTTAAATATATTTCTAGTGTTCCGCCAATCATGTCAAGCGTCCAGGTTCCCATCTCCCTGCCATGGTTATAGATGTAAAAAATCATTAGGGACATATACTCACTAGCGTTAATATATGTCTAGTGTTCAGTCATCCAGGTCAAGCATCTAGGTTCTGATCGCCAATCCATGGTTATAGGTATAAAACAACATTATGGGCATATACTCACTAGTTTTAATATACTTCTAGTCTCTAGCCATCCAGGACAAGCATCAAGGTTCCGATCTCCCAGCTATGGCTATAGGTATAACAAAACGTTATGCGCATATACTCACTAGCGTTAATATATGTCTAGTGTTCAGTCATCCAGGTCAAGCATCTAGGTTCTGATCGCCAATCCATGGTTAAAGGTATAAAACAACATTATGGGCGTATACTCACTAGTTTTAATCTAGTTCTAGTCTCCAGCCATCCAGGTCAAGCATCAAGGTTCTACTCGCCCGTCCATGGTGGTAGGTATAACAAAATGTTATGGGCATATATTCACTAGCTGTAATATACTTCTTGTGTTCAGTTTTCCAGATCAAGCATCAAGATTCCGATCTCCCCGCCATGGTTATAGGTATAAAAAAACATTATGGGCATATACTCACTAGATTTAATATATCTCCAGTCTCCAGCTATCCAGATCAAGCATCAAGATTCCGATCTCCCTGCCATGGTTATAGGTATAAAAAAACGTTATGGGCATATACTCACTAGATTTAATATATCTCCAGTCTCCAGCTATCCAGGTCAAGCATCAAGATTCCCATCTCCCCGCCATGGGTATAGGTATAAAAAGCATTATGGGCATATACTCATTATTTTAATCTAGTTCTAGTCTCCGACCATCCAGGTCGAGCTTCAAGGTGCTGATCTCCCGTTATATGGTTATAGATATAACAAAAATCGATGAGCAATCACACTCGGCTTTATTTATTTCTAGTGTTGAATCCACCAAGATCATGCTTCACGGATCCGGATTCAGTCCGTGGCTATAGGTATACAAAAACTCGATGAGCAATTACTCATTGGATTTTATATATTTCTAGTGTCTACTCATCCACGGCAATTATCGGGATCCGATTTTCATGAATTGTTATAGCTAACCAAGTTTCCTTTAAACCTTTACTTAAAACAAACTGTACTCTTTATTTATACTTTCTTTTGATGGCAAAGAACGATGATCAAATATACATCCATTATGGAGGGTATACAAGTCGTTCTTGGCCATTACTAGCCTAGAAGTATATATGACTATTGTTTTTACTCTCCAGGCCAAACAGCAAGGATCAAAACTCAAATTTGGGCTACAGATAAACAAGTCTTCTTGAGCTTTTACTTACTGTCATTTATATATTTCTAGTGTTTTTTTTTCCTTAAAGTTCAAATATCAAAGATCTGATTTCAAATCAAGGTTACGGGTACACACTTTTCTCTCTGTCTTTACATGCTTTCTTTTGTATTGGCCTAGTGTGTTTACGATCCGGCTACACAATGAAAAATTTGTTTTCCTTCCAGTGCGACAGGTATATACATCTAGTTCAGCCTTTAGTTACTGTTGGCTTTATTTCTATACTGGCTTCACAGTCCAAGCCAGCCATCATGGATCCTATATCCGTCCAGCGTTACAGGTATACACTTCTCTTTGGGATTTTACTTACTGTCGGTTTTAATTTTCTACTGCCCTTAAAGTCAAGGCCAACGACCAATCATCTGGTATCCGCCGAGAATTCCAGATATAAAAATGTTATTGGTCCGTTACTTATAATTGTTTTTGTTTCTCTAGTGTCCTTGCAGTCAAGGGTAACGAGCAAGAACCCGGTCTCCATATTGGGATATAGTGTTACACATATCTTTGATTTTTGACTTGCTGCAAACTGTATTTTTTCTCGTGACTTTACAGTCAAATTCAACACTCAAGGACCCGGTTTCCATCAAGTTTTACAGGTATACAAATCTGACAAGTGCTTTTCTTTAATGTGTCTTTTTTTTTTGTCAAGTGCCTTTACTGTCTATGCCAATGATTCCGAATCCGAGCCCTATCCAGAGTGACAGGTATACAAATATGTTTGCGTCTTTACTAACTTTTAGTTTTATATGTCTAGTGCCTATACGGTTTAGGCCGAAGAACTAGGACTTGATATTCATCCAGACTTGCAGATATATATTTTTCGTTGGGCCGTTGATTATTGGCTTTTTTTATCCGTCTATTGTTTTTACTGTCAAGGGCAACCATCAAGGATTCGATCTCCATCCAGTATGACAGGTATACACTTTTCTTTGGGTTTCTACTTATCGCTTGTTTTTTTTTGTCTAGTGTTTTCACCGCCCAGGTCGAAGAACAAGGATTTCTTCTTCATCCACGGTTACAGGTATACAATTCTCTTTTAGCCTTTGCATAACGCTTGTTTGATTTTTCTAATTTCATTAATGTCTATGCTAAATAATAAGCATCTACTCTCCATCTAAGGCCATAGGTTTAAAAAATATTTTTAAGTATTATTTTACTATTTATTAATTAATTAATTATTATTTTTTAATTTTACACAGCCAAGGCCAATCGATCCAGGTTTACTGTCCTCTAGGGTAACAAGTATATGTACATACCTGATCGTTTACTTACTGCTTGTTGTTTCGAGTAATTTTTATTTAGTCAAACTGAATTACCAAAGTTTTACTATCTACCTAGTGCCCGAGGTATACAGGTCTCATTTAGTACTCACGTATCACTTATTATTCTGTCTAGCTTTTTTATAGTTTAAGCCAGCAATCGGGTTTTTAATCTCCATTAAGGATTAAAGGTATACATGACTATGTGAACCTTTACTTACTAGCTATTATATTTTCTAGTCTTTTTACAGGAAAGGCCCACAATTAATATGAGTTGTTTATCCGGGGGGGACAGGTATACAAATCTGCCAAAAAATCTACTTACTATATATTTGCATAATGTTTTTACAGCCGAAGCCAACGATCAAAGCTTTGATATTCTTTTGGGCTCACAGGTATAAAAGTCTCTTTGACTTTCTAGGTACTATCAGTTGTTTTGTTCTAACCCTTTCTTCTCCGTAGCAAGCGTTCAATGCTCAGCTCTACATCAAAGGTCGCAGGTATACAAGAATCTTTAAGCAATTTACTAAAAAATTAGATTTTCCTAGCGTTTACATAGTCAAGGCGAAATGATCATGTTCTTTCTATCCATTCAAGGTTCTAGGTACACACGCACATTTTAGCATTTATTCTTCACTGGTTGAATCTTTTTAATCTTTGACAGTCCATGCCGAGAATCAAGGTTGCACTTCAAAAAATAGGGTTAAGGTATACATGCCTTTTTAAGCATTTACTTACTACTGGTTTTATCCATTCAATTGGCGCCCATTTCCATCTAATTAGCATCCGTTTCCATCTAATTAGAACCCATTGACATCTGATTGGCTTCCATAGAAATTGAATTTGCGTCCATTGCCAACTGAATTTGCTCCCATTGCCATCTGAATTTGCTCCCCCCCTTTTACTATTGGTGGAAGGGTACATGGCACTCAATTTTTTTATCCTTACGCCTTACAATTTTTTTTATATAACCGTAGTATTTTTTTTTGTAAACGTTGTATTTTTTTTATATAACCGTAGTATTTTTTTTTGTAAACGTCGTACTTTTTTTTTGTAAACGTCGTATTTTTTTTTGTAAACGTCGAATTTTTTTTATATAACCGTAGTATTTTTTTTTGTAAACGTCGTATTTTTTTGGCATAAAACATGGATATTTTTATTAGGCATAATTAGTTGATAGAGAAATAGAACACATAATAAGAAGTAAGATATAATGAAATACAAAGTAATAAAAAAAGAAAAGCATAAAGCAGTAAAATAAATAAAAAAAGAGGGACATAAAGTGGTAAAAAAAAATAAGAAAAAGAGGGACATAAAGTAGTAAAAAATAAAAATAAAATAAAAAAAGACATAGAGTGTAAAGAGCTTAAATAGACATAAAAGACATACTTAAAGCTTTCGCTCTCTGTTCAAACAGCGAGGAAAGAATGAAATGGCATGGTTAATCCAACCCAAACAGTCCGAAAGGGTGACAGTCTTAGCTGATTCTGTAATCCTTAAGATGAGCCCGTCTGACTCTGTAATCTCTTCTCTGCGGACACCAAACTTGATCTTGGACCACATTTCCTCAATTGGATTCAGGAAAGGTGAATACACAGGAAGATATGCACACTTGTACCCACGGGAAGAAATAAAGTCTTTCACCTCATCGGCCTTATAGATAGGAGCGTTATCCATGATGAGATAACGTCCTTGCATACCCTGGCTGTCCAGAACGTCCATTGTATGACTAAGAAAGTCGAGGTAGTGCTGGGTTCTGGTGCCAATTCGACCGTTCACCTCAACGTTGGTGTAGATGTCCAACTTTCTCTTCTTCTTGGTTGCGACTGCAGTGGGTTTCTTCAACGAGAGGCTGACGATCCCTCTCTCGCACATTGCACCAAGGATGGTGATGGACACACCTCTCTGCGTCGGGACAGTTGTCTTTGCTGGGGTGCCACTGACGGAACGGCCAAAAGTTCTCTTGATGTGCATGTTGAAGCCTGCTTCATCGATGAACACACAGTTTGACAGATAGTTGAAATCCGCAAGTTGTTGCCACTCCAAAATGCGGTCTCATCTCATCTCAATTGTGTTGGCGTCGTCTCTCTTCTCAGGCAGCTTCTCCAACTTCTTCATCGTCAGGGCACACTTCTTCACCAAGTGCTTCTGGATTGCTGATTTGGTAATCTGCAGCCCAGAGAACTCTTCCATGACAGCTATCCTTGCTTGTTCCAAGGTAGCATCTGGTTTATTTTCGAAAAACTTCAAAAAAAAAGCAGAGTGCGCCTGGAACAACTTTTGGTTGCCATGTTTTCGTTCTTTAGGCGCAGAAACCTCCTCAACCTCCATCGTCTCCAGCCCATTGGACTCATCAGTCTCCACTGTGGCAGCATCAAAATCGGCCTGGATCTTCTCTCTGGCCAGCCTGACATAGTTCTGGGCAGTCCGGACATTGATCCCCGTTTCCCTGGCAGCGGCAGCAGCAGTCTGGTTTTCCGAGAAAACCAAGGAGAAGAGCTTGTTCACCTGGTTTTGGTTGTACTTTCGGTACGAACCTCGACCTATGCTTTCTGCAGTGGGAACAGAATCAGGATCGACCTTCTCCGGCAGATTCGTCTTCGGCTTCTGTGCAACAATTGTCTTGGTTGTGGCCTCGTTGACTTCGGTTGGCAGGAAACTTTTGAGACTGAGGAGGTTTGTGACTGCTGGGTTTCCGGCCGAGGTACGGGTCCATTCCATATCGGCATGGTTGACAAAGACATCTGTCACAGATCGGAGTACAACTTCTCCATGCATTTCGTCGACAATCTCTTGGTTGAAATCGCACAAGGGGTCGAAAGCAATTCCAGAAAACTGGGTTTGGTCTGCAGAACCGCTGTGACTGACCATTTCACAGTGCTTGTCCATAACAAATTCGAGGGAGTTGTTGGAAGTAGGCATTTTTTTTTGAAAATAAAAAGGGTGTTAAAATTGAGGAAGAAAGATAACTGAGAAACTTTTATTAAGACACTGGGGTATATATACCAAAAAAAAATATATTTTAATAACTTAAACGTTTCTACCAAGGTATAGTCTTGTCCTGTTGTCTTAATATATTTGGATAAAGAACGTGTTGAAGAATAATGAATGTTTACATATTAAGCTTCTTCACACTTTTAAGAACATTTATTTTATTAGCCGATTTACAGTGCTACCAGAGCCTTTATGGTGTCCTGTCCTCTGTCTCGAAGGAAGGGGTGGGATTTCTCCTCATGGGTTTGCCCAACCAAAAATAAAAATAA